TATATAAAAAAAATTCAATCACAACTAAAATTTAATTTAATTTCATTATGCTCAATATTATTAATATAATAAATAATATTAATCAATCATTATTATAAATCAGATCAATTTTAAATTATTAATTATCTACTAATCTAATTTTAATTATCTATCAATTTTAATGTGTTTTTTCATATTTTTACGGCAAATCAACTTTAATTATTCTATTTTAAATATTATTTCAATACTGATTTAATTAAAATTTCACTCGAATATAAATCAATCAACTTTTCAAAATTAATTATGGTTAAAAAAAAATCACCAAAAAAACTTATGTCTAAGCAAGACCTTAACAAGCAACCTTTCAAAATTATGTTACACATGTATGTTTAGATGTAAAATTTACAAATATATATATATGTAATTTTTACATGTAGTTGTAATATAATAACAATATATTTATAATTTTAAATTTTTTAAAATTAATTACTCAATTCACATTTAATTCACCCGTGACCAGCCTGGATAATGATGAATGTGCAATGGAAAAAATGTAATAAATTATAAATATTAAAATAAGATATAAAACTTTTCTGTTTAAAGAAATAAGAAACATACCCTAACGATTATTTTTTTTTGTTTTTTTTTCCAACTACATATAAAAAATGAGACGTATTATTATAAGCTCACATTTTTATAAAAGTACTTCCAACCAAATGAGACGTACATATTGTAAAAATGCGAGCTTATGATCTCATATAGTTATCAAATACCTTCTTTAGAAAAATTCACTCAATTTTTTATTTTCACCGAATCATTAGCCAATAGTTATCATACTAGCTCACAAGGCGTATAAGATAAATGTTATGCTATCTTAATGAAGATTGTGGTCGGAATCTAGCATGGTCACCCCCTAAATTGAAGTACTCAATTTTTTCTTAAAGCATCAATGAGGAATAATTGCCTTTTCTTTTCACTTCTGTTTTGTTTTGTTGAACATCTTTTAACTAATAGTAATGGAACTTTTTTTTTTTTTTAATGAAAGNTTAATAAAATAGCATCTAACAATATTTGGTAATCACTAATTATGCAATAAATCGACTTAGCGGTTAAGTGAGTTGACTATGTTATTTTTTGGTTTAACAATAATTAGGAGGATCATCTCGCCATAATTTATTTAACAATAATTAGGAGTAAATGTTATTATTATGTTTTGATAAATAAATGCGGTTGACGATTCAAATGTAGTGGAAAGTACTGTAATATACTAAAATCAATGTAATACTATTGGTTTTGCCCATTCAACATTCTGATACAAAATTCATTCGAACAGATTTTTTTCATTAATTACCAATTAAAAAAAGTTGAAGTGGAGGTGTGAGTGAACATCTGTACCGTGTACCATTGTACTTTCATGTCAAACTAGCTATAATCTAGGTTGTCCTTTCTGACAGAAGCTCTACACACACAAACTCTTTTGTGAAAATAATATAAATGAAAAATGTGTTCTGTCCCAAAATTTTAAGCAACAATATCAATTAAAGGCAAGTTAGAGAGTGCTTGATATAAATTTGATTAAGCTTTTATTGAATTTTTAAATTAATAAGAGTTAATTTTAAATAAAGTTTGGTTAGGTTAACTTTGAGTCATATTTAAATTTTGTACTAAGAAAAATTTAAAAAAAATAATTAAAGGTGATTTGATGTAAAAGTAGAAGATAGATATATCATTGAAAGTGATGTATAATTAAAATTATATGAGTGGATGAATCAATATTTATAAATACTAGCAAAAAAATTAATAAAACTATTTTGATTTTTCGTTTTTTTCGTTACAATCTAATAATATTTTTTTAATTATTATTAATTTTTTTTATAAAATTTGTAACTAAAATCTAATCAATTACACTTATTTCTTTGGTTTGTAAATCAGATTGTTTAACATTTATTCAGCACAACTTTTCGTGTATTGTAATATTTTTTTAGTTTTTTATGAAATCATATACTAGCAAATTTAGTACACCATTGATTATTAATTTACTAGATATTTTATTGTTCACTCTCGATTATTATAAAAATCTATAGAAAAAAATTACACACAAATACTACAAATTACAAACCAAATACAGAATCAAATTATGCCAATAATTTTATTTTTCTTTGGACTCCCCCAATCAAAAAACAAATCCTCCTATTCTCAAAGGAAAATAGAAGAAATCATACTTTTATAGAATATCTTAATTGAATTCTATGTAAGCAGGGTGAAAAAAAAGGCATTTAGTCGAGGGGCAAGGATAAATTCGACTTTCTTTACTTAATAAGGATTTCAAGTAAAGAGCTCCATCCCAGGCATGGATGAAAAAGTCACACCGCTCACTAAGAAAATGCTACCCACGTTTAGGCTTGAAAAGCGCTGAGCCGTGAACAGGTCAATTACATCAAACCGTGGGAAGGTTACAATTTTGAAGATGCAGTACTCATTAGTATATGAAGATACTTAATAAAAACATCAATCATCTCTTCTTGTAGAAAATAATAATTTCAGCTACACGAGATTTCAACACAACAACAATAACAACAACAACAACAACAACAATAATAATAATAATAATAATAATAATAATAATAATAATTTTTATTGTCACGATCTCTCAAAATTATAGAAAAAAAAATATTTCTATTATAAATATATAATAAATATAGTGATTTTTATGTAAGTTATGCAATCCATATTTATATTTTTTTTATTTTTTACTACTTGTTAAAATTTTAAGATGTGATAAACTCATTATCTAACTTATAACTTCAAATATTATATATACATATATAATGTGCATTTGTGCATGTGCACAAGATCAAAGATCAACTATTAGTAGTGAATCAAAGTTGATGTGATGTGTGAGGATGATTGATTGATATTATATATACATATGTAATGTGCACTTGTGCATATAATTTGCTTGAATGTTAGATGATTGATGTAAAATTAATGGATTCGACTTCATTAAAGGTTTGACTCGTCAAGTCCGCTAATAACTTATTTGGAAAATAACTTATTTGATTAACTTTTGGAACCTGATATGAAATACCATACCAAGTTGAGTACGACATAAGGAATGATTTGATAGGACCAAATGGACCGATAGGTCGATCGGACATCAAAGGCATCTGGGGTCGAAGAACCACCAAGTCATTGTTGACCTCACAGGTAAAGAAGCTCACAAACAGGTCGAGTTATGGCTCTCGGCTAGCCTGATAGAAACTCGACATATAGGCAATCAGGTCAAGAGCATGACCTAAGAGGTAAAGCTTACGTGCTGAGGGTAAAAGCAACTTGGGTCAAGGGAAGTCGAGCTGGTAGCACAATTAGAACGTCTAATAAGATAGGCCAATGTAAATACACTATTTAAGAGATAAGAAGAAATATTATTAGGATAAAAATCACACGTAGCCTAGCAGAATCAGACAGTTTGGGCACCTGGGAAGTACGGACGGGTAGCTTGGGCAATCGTGCAACCCAGTTGGGCAATCTTGGGCTACAAGCTAACACTCCGATATAAAGAATTGAGGTATGATCATTTACACTCTACACACTCTTATATATACTTACGAGTTATACAATTACTATTAATTGTCTTTTTCATATACATTATGACTTGATCGTCGATCCTTTATGCCAGAACCACTTCCGTCTATCAAACCGATTGAGTGCAGATCCAAGGTCGTAGAAGCCGCTCTAGGTTGTTTGCACACCATTTTGGCGCTGTATCGTGAAATTCAATCAAAAGCCATCAAAACACCATAGTCATGGCGAATGAAGAAGATCCCAGGAGAAAATTGGAGACCACCTTCGGCGAGGCTTGGGTCTCTAAACATTTGTTAAGAATAGGCCCACCACCGGGGTTTCAAGGTTAAGCCAGACACCGGTGACCCCGATGACCAATTCATCGGGTCTAGTGGATTCAACGGTGACCATGTAGCTGTCGGAGGTCCAATCACCCAGACAGAAGATAGATCGGGTACTGAGATCGTCCTTGTACACCCTATGTAGCCAGATCAAGCCGAGGTCGTGCAGTGGGGCCACAAACAGGTGGAGCTGGGCCCACAGGCCAGCTGGTTGGCACTAAAGCTACAAACGAGTCGAGCATTGGCCTTATCGAGTAGGATTAATTTTTTTTTTGTTGCTCGAGCTCGAGCTCGATTTATGAGGCTCGAGCTCGACTCGATAAAAAAATACAATAGCTCGAGCTCGGCTCGAGCTCGACTCGAGCTCGACTCGAATTCATAATGTTTGAGCTCGGCTCGAGTTCGATTCGAAAATTTTCAAGCAATTTTGTAAAATTACCATTAAGTACATATGTTAATATTATGATACATATATATACTAAGGGTAGTTTAGTAATTTAACATAATCTCGATCCGCTGGCGAGCCGTTGGACAAGGCAAAATTTGAGCTCGAGCTCGATTCAAGTTCGTGCTCGAGCTGCTCGAGCTCGACTCTAGTTCGGTCAAACTCGAGCTCGAGCCGAGCTTTGACTCGAGCGCTCGTGAGCCGCTCGGTTCGTGTGCAGCCCTAGTTAGCACTCTTACGAAAGAGGAGCTCAATAAGCTGATTGTCGAGGCTATTGCTTCTAGATGTGCCTAGCAGGAGGTGTCAAATGCAGTAAATCTCAATGCGATGAAGAGAAGAGAGACGTAGGTCGAGTTCTATAGCAGCACAATCATGGGAGCTCACCTCGACCTAGCGGTGGAGATAATCATTGAGCAGATCTAGGAGCTTCAAGCTAAGGTGGAGAGAAAACAAGATGGAAGAGCTCGAGGGCATTCCCTTGACCAAAAATGTTGGACGTTGATCTACCTGCTAGGTTTAGATAGCTGAGTATCACATACGATGGGTTAACTAATCCGTCCCGACATTTGTGGAGTTTTGAGAATATGGGCGTTTTGTCGTGAGGTGTAGGGCGTTTTTGGCAACCTTGAGAGGTGAAACTCAAGATTGGTTCCGTTAGTTCGCCCAGGGTCCGTGAAAGATTTTGATGATTTTGCAACCATTTTTCTCAACTAGTTCGCAAGTGCCCAGGAGAAGACATATCTGACGTTGATGGCGATGCAACACCAAGATAATGAGACTTTAAGGAGCTATGTTTGCCAATATACTCGCACGTGTGTGGCGGTTCCCTCAACCTCTGAGGAGGTTAAGGCTGGTGGATTGACAAGGGAGTTGCGAGCTGGTCCATGCAGGAGCTCGCTGGCTAAGAAGTCGGCGTTCACTTATGATGAGGACTTGAAAAGGTTTAATAAGTGCATTAAGATGGAAGAGGTTCAGGCTGAGTTTTTCAAGATCGAAAGGGCAGCTCGACTTGATCAGTAGAGAATAATGAGGGAAATTATCCCAGAAAGGAGAGAAACTTTCGTTAGAATATTATGCAATTTTCGTTGGAACTTTTATTTCCACCCTCGTTGGAAAAACTACCGTTGGAATCATCAAAATCCAACGAAAATTCCAATGGAAAACTCATTCCAACGAAATAATTTTATTGAAATTCTCGTTGGAATCCATTAGAAAATTCCAACAAAAATAATAGCATTGGAAAAATATCCATTAGATATTGTCATTAGAATTCTATTGAAATTTATTTGCATTGAAAATTTTATCATTTTTTTGTATTGTTCATTCTTATTTATTCGTTTATGAATCGTTGTTTGAACGGCTTGCATTTATATGAATATGCAGTCGATGTTCATATGCACTTGTAATGATTTGGGATTGAGAGAAGATGAGTCATTGCTAGAATTAGGGGATTTTATGATTTAAACAACTAAAAATAGCAAGACGATGATAGAAGTTTGTTATGAAATATAAATTTACAAAATAGCAAGACGATGATAGAAGTTTGTTATGAAATATAAATTTACAGAATTTTGAGAGTTAATTATTTTTTTAGAACAATGGTTGATAGATAGAAATTTATTCACGACTTAGTTGATCTAGAAAGGTGGTAAACCTTACAAGTAGTAAAATTAAATATAATTTGTATAGCCCATTAAGGTGGATCTATTTTACATGTATGATGTGGGACAACTCACAAGTGATATTCTAACAGTATGTATTACTAGCACTGGTGAATTAATTCCAAGGAAAACATGCCCTAAAATTAATTTATATTTCTTGGTTATTTTCTATTTCTCACATTTGTTCCATCATTTGACTTTAGTTATTTTCAATTTAATTTTTTAGAAGATTAGTAATGTCTTTAACCCAAACTCATCTAGATAATAATCAATTAATGCATCTTTGTAGCACTTAACTGATTTAACATGAATTTATGTAGAGTGCGACTTTGATTGCCACTAGCTAGCTACGTCTTACGTTAGTTTATTAGTAATTTGTCTTCAACCCGTACTCATCTACATAATAACAAACGCATCTTTGTAACACTTAATTTATTTAACGTGAATTTCTATCAAGTACGGTCTTGATCGCCGCTTGCTAATTGCGACATTTGTGGATTTGTTAAAAATTTTAGCCAACAATAAGTGCTGTATTTTATTCATCCTCAGATGTCACTGAATTACAAAATTCTACAAAATACTTTTTTTCCAATCACAAAATAAGCACGCGTTGATTAGAAATGCTTATACCAAAATGTTAGTGAATGAAATGGTTTTTCTAACTTAGAGCAAAATCTATATATATATAATTGCTAGCTAATTTCATTTAATAAAACATTTAATAAAAATATTTTCACTTTCCCTCCAAAAGGAGTTACATTTTTTTTAATTAATTACTCATTAATCTCACATTTAAGAAGATTTTTTATAATTAAATTTAATTAGTTAATGACTAAATTAAAAATATTTATTTTAATTAATCCCACATTTATGTTAAGTACAGTATTATCTTAATATCTTATCAGTGTTTCAAAACAATAGTAACTTTTTTCAATAAATTTTATAAAAATTAGTCAAATGTGCTTATATTCATATAAATCAGAAAAAAAAAAAAATTTAAATCTTAGATATATAAAAAGAACATCGTTGAAATAACTTGAATCCGCAAGGGTAATTCTATACTCATTATCAATTACTCTAAATTTTTTGTTTATATAAGAAATTAATATTATATTTACTCATTTATATTTAGATGGTATTTTTTTTATTAAGAAGCAAGGACAATCTCTATCAATCAATAAGAGTCGAGGACAAACAATATAAAGAAGTGTTTCCTATGCTATGACATGATCAATAAGAGTCAAAGACAGTCTCTATCGCACGTCGGCTTACTACTGAAGAGCTCTGCATTTAGTCATGAGCAATTATACGTGGCGCTTTTTAGAGTTACGAGTCAGTGGGGTTTGAAGTTTTTGATTTGAGCTGAGGGAGATTTTAACGATAGAAAAACCACGACGTTGTTTTATAAAAAAGTGTTTAAGAATATTTATATTTTTTTTTCTTAATTTTTTTGAATGAATTTGTTTTTATTTTTACTATTGTTTATAATTTTTATTATTTTTTCATGTATCATATAATTTTCCGTGCAAATGCACGGGACAAAAACTAGTTATCATATATCGGAAGCTGATATTTAATTGTACAACTAAAATTACCAGCCCTCCAAAATTACATGAATAAAACTGCATGCAATTAATTTAACCTGATCAAGACATTGGGCCATCAATAGTGGGGAATCTTCTCAAGTGATTTTCAATGGCAAAATGAGTTCGCAAGTGATTTTTATTCCTGGTAAGAACATTTGTGATGACCGGTTGCTAGAGACTACTTATGGGTAATAAATAATCTTTAGAGAATTAAAGAATATTTTCTAAACTACAAAAAACATATGTCCACTCAAACTATTTGAGCGATTATTTGATAAATAAAAATTAAAAACAAGACAGGGCAAAGAGATATAGTTAATTATTATCAACTTTTGTAATTACTTTCATCCTAACTGATATTGTCAAAGAAAGAATGGGCCAAATGGATGTATATGAATTAGTAATATCAATAGATATTAAATGTTATGCAATAATCAAATAATAAAAATAGAAGTGATGGCGATAGGGATGAAATTAATACTCAATTTTAATTTTTCTTTTAAAAAAATATGATTTTTATGTTGGTGAATATTTTTCATTAGTGATAATACCATTAAATAGCCATCAAAATTTACAAAACACAAATTTTGGCCACCTTTTGTAAAAAACCTCTTTTTTAGCCATTTTGGTATGTATTTTTACCACATTACCCTTGTGTCAATATTATACTTTGTTGAAATTTTTTTTCCCCAAATTAGTTCAAACCAAAAAATTTCCCCCGCTCCTCTGCACTTCTTCCGCCGCTCTTCTTCTTCTTCCAATTTCCCCCGCTCTTCTTCTTCTTCCAATTTGTCTTCAAGAATTCATCTCCGGCGACCTCGCGACCTCCGGCGACCTCAGGCGACCTCGCGACCTCAGGACCTCCGGCGACCTCCGGCGACCTCGCAACCTCAGGACCTCCGGCGACCTCAGGGGACCTCGTCACGCCGTCTCTTCTGTCCGACGCGACCTCGCCACGCCATCTTCACGAACTAGGGACCTCGGTTTGTTTTTTTTTTAATTAGGGTTTGCCTATTTTTTGCCTATTTTTGCCGTCTTCTTCTTCCAATTTTTGCTGTCTCTTGTGATTTGCCTATTCTTGTGATTTTTGCCTTTTTTCAATTTGCCTATTTTTTCCTATTCTTGTGATTTTTGCCTTTTTCAATTTGATTTGTTTATGTGGTTTGTTTTCTTCTTGGCTGTGTGAATAATGTACAAATGTTGACTGTGTACACTTTCTTCCTCAATTTTCACTAATATTGTGTTCTTTGCAACATGAGATGAGAATTGAGGACTGTGTTTTAATTCACTGAAAGTGGTGTTGTTTTTCATTTTGATGCTGTTTTTTGTTTACCAATTCAAATGAATCCATAGATGTTTTGCTGCTGAAAATTGTAATTTAGTAATTTGGAATTTGAACTGTATGCATCTTCTCTGTTATTTTAAAAGCATGTATTAAGGTGTTTTGCTGTTGTTCAACGAGATTTGACAACCTTCATCTGCAATGTGCATTGTTATTTAAACTACATAACCCTGTTGATAAATTTCTGCTCTAGAAACGCATTTTTACTGTTTGGGGCATGTCGAACTATAACTTGATGTCTAAAAGTACTATCTAGTATCAAATGAAGGTAAGATTGGAAAATTAATGACTCTTACACAAGCCTCTTGTATACTATTACTAGGTTTTTATTTCTTGCGTATGAATCTTGAGCAGTAAAGTTTCTTGCTTATAATTTGACATAAGTGGCATATAATTTACTTTTTTTTTTTTATTTCATGTACTATATTACTCACTTTGCCCAATAAACATGTACAGATTATTCATTTTTCCTTCCACAATCACAGAGTGACATCATAATGACTTCTCCTACAACTGAGTTTATTTTTTTTTTTTTCCATTTTTTATTGCTCCAAATTCACTTGTGTTTCATTTTTTTGTTTACTTTGTTTGGTTAACAAATAAGGTTGTACATTTCACTTGAAATTATGTATTTACTTTTTAGTTCTATTAACTTAATTATGTTGAACATCACAGGATAATAATTGGAAATGGAGGTGGGATAACTCTTGTGATTGGATCGGTAAAGTGAACTGCCACACGAAGCCTGAGGTCATTCACCATATCAAAGAAACGCTATCTTCCAATCATTTGGCAATGTTTGAGCGGTCTTCCACCGACAGAAGAAGGTGGATTCACGGATGGTCGAACATTACGCGTTAAGTTGAAAAATAGCAAGTTTTCCTCACCGTTCGTTGACTACCGGGAGAAGAAAACTGAGAAGCAATTAAAGACGAAATACGAAACTTGGAAGAAGAAGAAATCTGCAGAGTAAGTAGCTTGCCAATTGTTATATTTTTAAAAATTCTAGCATATATGTGAACTTACTAATTGAGATTCTCTTAACATGAACCATATTTATCTTTTATTTTTTTTTTAGGTTAAACGTTGGGATAGAACCTACTTGGTATCAGGGGCCAAAATATTTTAAATCAAGTGAGGAAGTCAAGAAAATGCTTTCTGATTAGTCGGAAAACGTGCTTGTATTAATGGTCTAATGTTGTAATTGAGCACGTTTAATTTCTTGCATTTATGCATCTTTCGACTTATTTGATAATATGAACAATACTTGTGCTTTGATGAGTTTTTGAGTGATTTTCAGTATTTTTGGAGCTATTTCTAGTTGCACGATGAGGTTTGGATGCTCGGAAAAAGGTCGAAGAAGAGTTTCCAGTGAGTACGGGGGTGTCCCGTACTGGACCAGCAGGTCCCGTACTGCATAAAGCAGACTTGTGCAATTTATTTAAGTGGGCCTGGGAAATTAATATGTGAAATGGCCCATGTGTTGGTGTTTGAAAGAATTGGGCCACGTCTGCTGGTTTCATGAGGGGAGAATTAAATCAAGGATCATATTATTTTATTTGGTTGTCATATTTGACTTGAGGAGATAATTGGAGACTTTTGTTTTGTGAGGACACTATATATTACATATAATTTTGCGGCTGAAACCAACAAAAAATAGAGAAGGACACGCAGCCGCAATACAATTCACGCATGCAGCCAGAGAAGAAAAAAAGACAGACGCACGGAAAAAGCAGAAAAACGAGAGGAGCTCGAAGAATTGCGGAGGGAGGCCGCACCCGTACACGAGGGAGATAATTAATCTCTCTCTTTTATCTATTATTTCTTTTTATTTATTATGTTAGGCTAGGTTTTTATTTCTAGTTCCGGTGATGTTGAACCTTACGACTTGATGATGTTTGATTAATTTTCATGGTTGATTATTGAGTTGTCTTTTTGGAATTGTTTGTGTTATTTTGAATAATTCACCATGATGTGTTAGTCTTGTTTAGATTGATCACCTAGATTAGGCTTTTCATATCTACATCTGAATTAGGCCTGCAATCCGTAATTGTTGTTGTGTTTAATTCATAAGAGGTAACCGGAAGATGGTAACTACCGGGGATAACACGGCCTAATTAAGTGAACGAACGCGGTTGAGTTCACTAATTAGTCTACCCTATTTTTCTAATTCGTAAAGCGGCTAATTGTATTAAATCTTGAAAAGGACTGTGCAAGAAGTCAGGTTTAATCGTCGAGCGTCTCGTGGTTAAATTAAAAATAAGGAAAAATTCGGGTAACTGACCGTGTCGTTGCTTAGGACTAGTAATTTCGTGAGATAACGAGATTTGATACTAAAATTGATTAGACGAGTCAGTCGAGGGTGTAGACGGAACCGTGAACTAAAAAGTTCTCTTAATTTATTTATTTTTATTTTAATTTTATTTGTTTAGATCTTATTTATTTTAGTTAGTTTAGCTATTAAATAATCCCCCCTCTTTTATTGCTTTCATAATTTCAATTAATACGAGAAAATTCACGATTTGATTCACACTTCTCGTGGGATCGACCCTTGCTCGCCACTACTACTAGTTAGTAGAGGTTAGTCGAGGAAAATATAAATTTTAATTTTGCCGCGTTGCGACGCGCGGTCACTTTCTAATGAAGTAAGCAATTGTTTTTAGAATTAAATCCAATACTCAAATGTAGGTGTTCAAAAATTTAATATAATTTATAATTTTTGTAGCATATCGATCCGTTTTTGGACGTGCTTTCTCGGAGGTTGTACAGTGGGGTCAAATTGAAGTCGGGAGTATCTGCTTCAAGAATTAACATTCAGGATTGCGCTCTATTTGTAATTGCTCTTTCCATTGATTATATTTATTGCTTAATTAGTTTATATATTCTTGAATGATTCATGTTGATGCTTAATACTTATTTTCAGCGCTTGTTGTCGAATGAATGGAAAGTGCTTCATCCCGACGATCCTCAATGTACGCAGAGTTATCCAGACGACGCAAATTATGAGAGATGGGATGTTCCTCCGGTTCTGGTCAATTATGTTCGTGGTACTGCTATTCGTTGGGGATCTCCTTGGCATACAAATCCTGATGTAAGTTTTTCTTTTGTTCTTTATAAAACCATGTTGCTTTAACATGAAATTGGCTATGTGACGTGTTAATTATTGGTAAATTATGCTGGATGGTATGAAATGTACTTGTAACTTTGGATGATAGGTCATTTTGGTATGTAATGTTCTCGAGCATTGGGTGGTGTGTCGGGTACGGTTATTGGACTGGGAGATCGAACTTTACGACTCCTTTAGCCACCTTTCATCATCAAAGGCGGGTAATGACCAAGAGCTTATGTTGACCCCTCTCCGACGACTACTTCCCACACTACTTCACCGGTCCGGTTACTTTGCTGCTATGAAGATTCCGCCCAGGTTAGATGCCTTACCGATTAAGAGAATGCCGAGTGAAGTTCAGTTTGTTCAAGAGGATATCCATAATTGTGGTGTATTTGCTTGCATGTACGTTGAACGCATGCTTGGCGAGAACATTCCCCGGGAGTTGGATATACGTTTATATAGACAGAAAATGACATTAGCAATTTTTGCATGGTATTCCCGTGTCGAAGTAGACCGAAAAATATTTTTTGGGGCTTTTGTTGTGTATTGCTATTGCCGATTGTAGTGTATTTGGTTGGTACTTAAACAGTTGTGGTTTATTGGATACTTTGGCTTGCAGTGGTTCTACTTTGGCAATTGTGGTCTTTTTGTGGTGGTTTATTGGATACTTTTTGTGGTCTTCTTGTGGTACAATTCATCGTTTTTCTTTGTCTCTATTTAATGTTTGGTTTTTGTTGTTGTACTGCTATTAGGTCCAAGGCATTGATTCTCCGCGACTCGCGGAAAAATCCCGCGAGTCGCGACCCTGGGAATCCTGCCAGCAGGAGAGCTCTGTTGTTCATCGCGACTTGCCATCTCTTCCGCGAGTCGCGACCTTGGGAATCCTGCCAGCCGGAGGGCTCTGTTCTTCACCGCGACTCGCCATCTCTTCCGCGAGTCGCGGTTGTTATAATATTATTATTATTTTTTTTTTTTTTGAAAAATGAGAATGGAACACACAGCCCATTTATTTTGTTTTATATCTGCTATCTTATTAATAGAGAACTTACGATTCACAATATGTTTTACATTCAGCAAACCAACCAACAATACCATCGTTTTCAAACATCACCATAGCAAATGAAAAGAAATCACCAAATCTGTAGCAAAACATCACCATAGCAAATCAAAATAAATCACCAAATCAGTACCATCATTTTCAAACATCACCATAGCAAATCAAAAGAAATCACCAAATCTGTAGCAAAACATCACCATAGCAAATCAAAAGAAATCACCAAATCAGTACCATTGTTTTCAAACATCACCATAGCAAATCAAAAGAAATCACCAAATCTGTAGCAAAACAAAATACGGGGTTCTTACATAGAAGTAAAAGCAACATCCTAAAAGGCCAAGTCATTATTCACCAGGAGATTGCACCATCCTTAATCAACGACTGACCTTGCTCGCTTCTTTTTTTTCCGAAGATGCTGTAGCACAAAAATTTATGAATCACAACAATTGTACCATCCTTAATCAACTCATTTGGCAGACCAAAGGAATTCCAAACGGTGCCCGGTGCGATCTCGGGCCAGAATTTATTGGCATAAAACTCGCTTTCATGGCTGGAAAAATCACTTTCAACATCTCGACAGGCGGAATGTTGCACTGTATTATTCTCAAAATCAATATTTGGGTTGCTTTGCCAATGTAAGTTTGCAAGGGATGGAACGGTAACACCATATGGATAAAACGGTTGAATCCACTTATTCCACGATCTTTGGCTTGCAAGGTAACATATATAGTAGGTACTTGGAACAATTCGGCCAAATTGTGCAAGTCAGATTCACAAGAAATTCTCCATTTTTCCAACTCTCCATTTTCATTCGCCATCAAGAAGTGAAATCGATACTCACACGTGTGTTTGTCTCCACCAATAATATCATTAACTCTATTTAAAAAGTCTTCATACGACAAACTTCCCAAACGCATAAAATATATTTCTGCTTGTCCATTTTTATAAACATTCTCATCCCAAAATCCGCTATGCACAATTCGAACTTTTTCACACATCTGTAAACAAAGATGCAAAACTATTTTACTGACAAATAATTCCAAATAATTAGTAATTAAGCAGTCAATGTTTAATAAAACAAATAAAATTTGAAATAGAAATGATTTTTGGAATCACAGAAATGGTTTATACGATTCAAAAATAGTTTCCAGGGACCAGAAATCACGTTTCTGGTCCCAGAAATCGATTTCTGGCCCTAGAAATCGATTTCTGGATCTTCTGATTTCTGGTCCCAGAAATCAATTTCTGGTAACTGAAATCAATTTCTGGTAACAGAAATCAATTTTCGGACCCGGAAATCTATTTCTGGGGTATATCATTGCCCAAAAATCGATTTCCTGGTAACAGAAATCAATTTCTGGACCCAGAAACATATTTCTGGACCCAGAAATCTATTTCTGAGGTATATCATTGGCTAGAAATCGATTTCTGGGACCAGAAATCATTTTCTGGCCCCAGAAATCAATTTCTGGTAACAGATATTAATTTTTGGACCAGAAATATATTTCCGGACCCATAAATCTATTTTTGAGGTATATCATTGGCTAGAAATCAATTTCTGGGTACATAAATCAATATATAGTCCCACAAATCGATTTCCGGACCCAGAAATACCAGAAATCGATTTCCGTGCCCAGAAATGTATTTCTGGGTCCAGATATCGATTTCTGTATCTTCTCGTTTCTGGGACCATAAATCGGTTTTCTGGGTCCAGAAATCGATTTCTTTGCTTTATGGGCCAAGAAATCGATTTCTTTTTCATTTCTTGGTCCAGAAATCGATTTTTGGGACCAGAAATCCAGAAATCGATTTCTGAATCTTCTGGTTTCTGGGACCATAAATCGGTTTTCTGGGTCCAGAAATTGATTTCTTGTCCCAGAAAGCAAAGAAATCTATTTCTGGGTCATTTCTGGAGGCAGAAATCGATTTCTAGACCAGAAACCAGAAATCGTAAAAATTAATTTCTTACACCAGAAATCGATTTCTGCGATTCTGAATGATTTCTGGACCAGAAATCATTCAATGTTCAAGAAATTATTCATGCCCACAGAAATCTTTTTTTTTTTTTTT